TCCCCTCCTTTCCCTTGATGTCTCTGGAATGCCCAATCCATGTCTAAAAAGATAAAGGTAATCCACAACCTCTTCATAGCTCACTCCCTCCAGCTCCTGGCTCTCAGACCTCAATCCCGTCCTCTGTCAGGGGACTCTGCAGCTGCCCTCTCTTATAGAGGCTCTTATCTCTGGGTAATTCCCTCTGCAAACACAAACTCAACTACCATCTCTATGCTCACAGCTTTCAGATCTACCTTTCTACTCCAGACTGTCTCCTTCTGCCCAAACTAAAATCATGTGGATCTCTAGGCATCAGCTCAAACTCAACATGACTTAAACAGAGTTCTTAATCTCTTCTCCCCTCCAAGTCCTCCCTGCTACCTCCTTTTTCAATCTCTGTGGACAATATCACCATCCTGCCCGACATGCAGGCCTGTAACCTGAGTGCCATTTTCAACTTGGACCTCTCTCTGTCTCTCTACATCTTCACTTCCAGGCTAAGTGTAAATTTAGCAGATTCTTTCTGTATAACATCTTTAAGATACAAGCTTTCCTATCCAGAACACAGATGAAACTCTCATCCAGGATCTCATCATATTGCATCTCAGCATCCTTTTCTCTCTGCAGTATCCTTTTCTCTGGTGTTGACAAATGTAAACCCCACTCAAACCCATTAAGAATGCTACTGCAAGGATCATTTTTCTCAACTGTCACTGTGCGTATGTCTCCTCTCTCTCTACCTCCATCCACTGGTACACCCTTCTCTATTGCATCAAACATAGCTACTTGTCTTCACTTTGAAGGTCCTTCAACAGCCCATCTCCACTCCACCCATCATCTCTCACTGACTATTGAGAGGTCGACTTCTACCTCCCATCGGCCCATGACACCAGCCTCCATAGCCCAACTGTTACATTTTAAAACAAGCACCTTTGTGCTTTCTCATGCTGCCCCTCATGCCTGGGAGGAGCTACCCATAAACATCCATAAAACAGTTAAGCTGCTGGTATGCAGAGAGTACTGCATATCACGTGGACCAATATGGTCTCATTGTTTCCTTGTAGTCCTCCCGTCTGTCTGTATCTATCTTTTGTCTGAGGGCTTGTCTACGTTACCTGCTGGATTGATGGACAGTGATCTAGTCTAGATCGCATCTAGTCTAGATGCGATAAATCGACCGTCGAGCCCTCTTCTGTCGACTCCAGTACTCCATCAGGGCGAGAGGCGCAGGTGGAGTTGACAGGAGAGCGTCAGCCGTCGACTTACTGCAGTGAAGACACCGCGGTGAGTAGATCTAAGCACATCGACTTCAGCTACATAACGTAGTTGAAGTTGCGTAACTTAGATCGATCCTCCCCCTCAAGTGTAGACCAGGCTTTATATATAGACTGAAAGCTCTTTGGGGCAGGAGTAGGTGTTTCTACAGTGTCTAGCACAACAGGATACTGATCCATGACTAGGGTTCCTTGGCATTACGGTAACAGAAATAATTAATAATAGCAAGTTATAAGTTTTAAAACCACTTAAAACTAAATCTAATGGATCAAACTGATGATCTTATGAAGGTTTATAATATTACAGCTAGCTTTCATAACATTGACTCTGGTGAAGGATACCTTCTTAAACACAGCCTTCTGCTAAAACAAAAGCTGAGTGGTTGGATGTTTATATACCAGACTCCTATTTTCAGAAAAGTTTATTAGTGCTATAAGCATTTGACTCTTGGCAGACCTTTGCTTACATGACCTCAGCCAAGGAGTCTTTTTTATTATTATTACAAAAATTTGAAACACCAAAAATTAGTTAGAGTTATAGGGATGCAAAGTGTTAAGATGCTTAACTGAGACCCTATGACTGACCTTTTTGCAGACCGCTCAGTTGTGATGGGTCCAGTGGGATGGGTGTTTTTGGATGCTCTCTATGGTGGGAAATTTTGTTTAAAAAAGAAGTTTAAATATGAAAGGCTGAAACAGACCGAATGGACTAGATTCATACATGGTCTCACTCTGTTGTCTTTTGTGTCATAACAATAGGGATGAATTTGTCCAAGATTTCAAGCCTGTCAATACTCAATGGTACTTTGTTTGTAAAGCGTAAAATTCTGATATAATTGAAATAAACAAGATTTCTAATTCACTGACATTTTCAGTATGAATTCTGCAGCACTCTCTCCACCATGGTAAACAATAATTTACATTTTTACCTAGTGCCTTTCATCTAAAAGGATTACGAAGCACTTTATACACACAGCACTACTGAAAAGCAGCTACTTGGGGTCACTGAGGGTATGTCTATACCCAGCTGCTAGTTCGGCGGCTGGCAATCGAAGTTCTGGGTTTGACTTATCGCGTCTTGTCTGGACGCGATAAGTCGAACCCGGAAGTGCTCGCCGTCGACTGCGGTACTCCAGCTAGACGAGAGGAGTACCGCGGAGTCGACGGGGGAGCCTGCCTGCGGCGTGTGGACCGAGGTAAGATCGAACTAAGGTACTTCGAACTTCAGCTACGTTATTCACATAGCTGAAGTTGCGTATCTTAGTTCGATTTGGGGGGTTAGTGTAGACCAAGCCTGAGTCAAACCACTACTCTGATGAAAAATGCCACAGGACATTTAATATCCATGCACAGTAAACAGGCCTTCAGTTTTTAAAGTCACAAAGGAAAGACACCTACACCACTGCAATAAACTACAAGGAACTCAATTTCTCTTTCTTAGAAGGATGAAGGACTCAGTAGACCTTTACAGGATTTGCACTGGTAGTTCTAGAGAGCCTAGACACTCTCAAGACACACTCTTGACTTTTTTAAAGGAAAAATTGTTTAATCATAAAGAGTTCCTGTATTTTCCAGACTAAAGCCCACATCCTGCTGTTGGATATGTATGCATTACTCTCCCATTGTCTTCAATTTGGCCCTGAATCAGCAACCCACACAGAGAGGACTTACAGCATCATTAGAAAGAAAGAGAACTCCAACACTGGGAAACCCAATGGCTTTTTGCAAGTAATTCATTTTATACAGTGCTATCAATTACAAACCACTGAAAAAGTTCAACACGAAGAGTAATAAAACCACATCAGCTCTAGATTTCAAAGTAAAGCAAAACCTCTGTTGCTTTTTACAGATTCAGACTAACACGGCTACCCCTCTGATACAAAACAAAACTGATGACACTCGTAAAAAACAGTTCTGCTTTTTAAGGCAGAATTGCCGATGGAATGCACATTAATTACCAATGCTCCAGCATAAGGGCTGTTTATCGACCAGGGGACCAGTCCTGTTCCCACTGAAGTCAACAGCGAGAACAGGCTCAGGCTCCATCCACTTAAAGGACTTAAAATATTTTAAGTTCTGAAGTGCTTAAAGTGAACAAAAGGGTTGTGGGACTGTTTTAATTTTAAAATAATTGTGCAGGATTATTGCTCAGAAAAGGTGTCAGCCTGACAGCCCAGGAGACTGAATTTCTCCATTTATGAACAGAACAGCTGCAGACTTTCTAACATGCAGCCTCCCTGCCCACAAATATACTTCAATCCTTACCTGGAGGGACCAGTTCTATCCACCAATAAAAGGATAGTTCATTTTCCATGACGCTTCAGTCCTTGACCTCTGCCTACAATCAAAGTAGTATACCAACTCCTGCCAGTTGCGGTGGTGGTCTCTATAACATGGACACCTGTCCACTGATAACAGGTTTGAGCACCCCACCCCCCAGACATAGACGCTACTGAACAGTAGTGACTCCAATTGAAAAGTGCTTCAATTGTGGTGACTACATCTGTGGGACAATCTTGCTCAAAATGGTTTTGACCTCTGGCAAAACTACCATCTGTGCAATTAACAGGAGCTCAAAAATACATTCAGATATTTTCCCCCCAACCCTGCTATAAACAGGAGGCAGAGATGGGAAATTTGCCACTCATCAAAGGAAGCAGATTTGAAATAATCTGTTCTGCTTAGAACTCTGTGTACTTCTTGGAAATAGGGAAAGGGGAAATTCTGAACACTATCTGCATGCAGGGCAAAGTTTGCTTATCTTTCTAGACTGTGTTTTCAGTGCTGCTGTCTCACATGTTGCTTTATGCCATGATACTTGACAAGAAATCTATTTGATTTAAATCTCAAGGTAGCCCTAAGAGCCTTTAAATTATTGACCTTATATGGATTGAGGAAAGGTGTTTTTCAATCTGGTAAATAAATCTGATCTAGAATGTGTAGTATTGTGCCTTTCATTCTGAAAGAAATTTACAAATAGATAAAAATATGGGCCAGATCCTCAAGCAGCGTACTGACATAGCCATTGGCTTTAATGGAGTGATGGCATTTGATACCAATGGAGGGTCTGACCTTATGGGAGTTTAGGGCATTCAGCACCTTGCAGTATTTGGACTTCTATACAGGCCTTGTTTCACCCACCACTAAAATGCACCTGCCTTTGGGATGACACACTGCATTTGTGTAACAGCACACAGCAACACTGCACAACTGTGTAGGACAGAAAGGGAAGATGAATGGTGTATGCAACTGAAAAAGCAGTGGAATTATAGCCCAGTTCTGCTCCCACTGTAACTAATGGGAGTTTTTTCATTGACTTCGAAGGGTGCTGGACTGAGTCCACAGGTAGGCAGAATGTAGGTACAGTAGTTAGAATGTGTCCAGGTCCAGGGGCCTGATCCTGAGGGGTAGAGAACACATACCACTGTTAGGGAAATGATTGAGAGTGCTCAGTAATTTTCAGGATCAGACCCTGGACTAAAATCCCTACACCTGCAAAAAGTACTATGGGATCCATGACCGCAACTGATCAAATCCTAGTTTTATATATCATCCAGAAGATTAAGAGTTGAACACAATAGAACTTTTTTCAGGCGATGCAGATACCGAGTTGTTCTTTAATGTTAAAACCAGTCTCTGCTAAAAGTTAATACTATAACTATGCCGTGGAATTCAGCTCTTTGGACCAGAGCTCCAAAGTCTACAAGTAATCTCTCAAGATGCCACTGTGCCGGTTTTACTCACCCCTAGCCATCTTGCTCCTTTATTGGCAGCCTGTTGAATCTGCACTCTTTTGAGGGTGACATGGTAAACAGCTCCTTCCTCTACCTCTTCACCCCCGTCCTGAATTGAGCTCTGCCATGGAATGGGAAAAAAAGAGAAAGAAAAAAAAAAAGGTACTTTTTCCCCCTTCTCTGCTAACCACAATCTGTACCAGCTGCTATACTGCTTATTGCAGAGCTCAGCGCACAAGATGGGCTGTACAAAGTAAATATAAGAATCAAAGCAATACAGGACGCGTTTCGATTGAGGGAATGCTGAGATACTCTTGGCAAGCTGCCATTTCCTATGGTATCAGGATACCCTGACTTTCCATTTAGTTCTTTTTCCGAGACTTGCACATATTTTAAATAGTTTTATAGTCTTTTTTGAAGGAACTGATTCCGTTTTGATTAGTAAACATTTTAAAAAGCAATTAATCTCTTTAGTTTTCCTTTATGGAAAGAATTGTATTTTAAAAGAGAGGAATTACATAGGCTGAGATCATTTAAACTTAGAAACTAAAAATTATTTAAAATACAGTGTGTCTATTTCTTTTGACATGAGGGACTAAAAGCACTTCTGTTTTGTTTTTAATATATTTCAGGCTACAAAAACTTCACAGGGCTAAGACTTTGAAAGGTAAAAATATCAGAAAGCAGAAGCAGCACCATAATATCACACTAAAACTTTAATGGAAACATAACCTGAAATAATTCTCATTTTATATTTCCTAATCTAAAGAACAAAATAGAAAAACAAAGATAAACCACTATTGCGGAGGCAGAAAAAAAAATCCTGAATTCATCCTCAAGGACTCATCTAACTTCCCTTTCTCAAATGTTTCCCTCTTCTGTGCCACTCCACAAACATACACAAAAAGTCAATTACTTTGCAGATAAGCATCATTTTAAAAGCAGTAATACACACTGAGAGATAATTATACAGAACAATGAGAAAGAGACTTTAAAAGTGGGTCTCAAGAGATTGCAGACACAAAAAGTTGCACACAAATATGTCATCAGTGTGCCAGATTCACTTAGAAAGAATACAATCCAGTCCTGAAATAGGGATTCTCCATCTAGGAAGTCTTTAGAGAAGTAAGGGAGCTCTAGTTACCATTTTAGCTTTCCAAAGCAATTTCATTCTCAGTTTCCTCTTCAGGACATCGACGGGGCATGATGGATCCTGTTCTGAAGCAAATAGCTTTTACAATCCTCTCACATACTTTCTCAACTCAGTAGACACCACTCTGCGTCTATTGCTTGGGTTCTGCAGTCAATTCATGACCACAAAGAACTGTGAGTGGTGTGCTGGGAGTGAGAGAGAGAGAGAGGGAGAGACTCCTCCCCCACCACACACACATACTGTGATGTAAGGTTTTCCTGTTTATGCTTATGAATTTAAACTCCCTTTTCTAAGCTCCACCATATATAAAGTTACTATAAAATAATATTTCAATGCTTAAAGACCCTTTGACATTGTGCTAAGCCTCTGAAATTTATCTTAGTTTCCTGATACATACTAGGTACCAAAGTAATTCCCCCCCCCCTTCCTTAACTATAAGAGACAAAGAGAGGGGAGTGGTGAAGGGGGAGGGTTAAATAAACTGCTATTATCCAACTTGCGTAGACTTCTTTGAATAATTAAATCAGAGTGACTCCAGCTAGGCATTAACAATGTAAAGCTGCAATACCAATAGAGGAATTTATCTTTATCTTTCAGAAGCACAAAAATGGTACCTCGATATTCTAAAAGCCTTTAGAATTGAAAACCATTCAGAATCAAAACATTCAAAATGGGTTTAATGGTGCACTGATCTGATGGCAGAACAGAACAGACTTTCTGAAAACTTCACTTAAAAGACTTAAACATAACACATTCTCACTTCAGCAAAATGAGACTCAGGAGTTTCCATCAAACAAGAGAGGTTCTTTTTTTTCCTATTAAGAAAACTCAAAGTTTTTCAGTGGGTATGTTCATGGGAATCCTGCAGTATTATTTACTTACCCAGCTCAGTAAGTGTACAATGCACTTTACAGAACAAGTATAAAATGACAGGAACACTGCCTTGAAAAGATGACAGTCTTACTCAGGATGATGTGATACACAGTTCAGCTTTCTGGACACATGGAGATGCAGAATCCTCATGGACGACAGAAAATTAAGCCAAACTTGGAGCTTTTTGGCCAAATTGTTTTCAAATTATGAGATGGCAAAAAATTGCCTGTAGTCCTTTTGGAGGCTCTCATCTCATTAATTCGTAGCAAATACAGAGATAATAGTAGTCCATTTTCAAAATCAGTAATGTACATGAAAGTGTCACAAGCAATTCACAAACATGGGTTGTTTTTTTAAACAAAACAGGCCAAATTTTTTTAAGTGTCAAAAAAATCAGATACTCTGAAGAGTTCTGGTTGTGAATATATATCAGTGACATAAGGGGGAAAAGCTAACAGAGTATTCTAGTTTAAAAAAACAAATAACCAAAAATTAGGACATTCAAAGCTAAGACTGCATATTAAATATCTCCGGAAGTGTGAAAGTACGGCTCAAGATAGCTCACACTATAGTTGGTATATCAACCATACCATCTACACCTCTCCCAATGATATAACTGTTACTGTTACGCACTGTACATCTTCAACCTTTGCAATACAAGCCACTCACTCTCATTCTATTTACCCATGCCTGGCACGCTAATGAACACCAGCCACCCAATACTGCATGTAAGAGCCATTCACTCCAAAGATCAGTTCTAGCTCTTCCAATTCACCTTCTCTTTGTAAGCCACCTTCCCACTATTAACCAAGAAAACACAACAACATTTTCACATCTTACCCTCTACATACAATCTATTAAAAAACACTGGCCTGTATCTACCATTCCATTATATGCCACAAAGCCCTAACTACCCTTGCCACCTTCTCTATATAGACTAGAAACCCCTGCACAGTTATTCTTTATTATTATTTGTATTATCATAGCACCTAAGAGCGCTAGTCATGAACTGGGAACTCCTTGTGGTAGGCGCTGTACAAACACGACTTACTTTTCTTCATAATGTGGGTCCATGACACCTCACCCTACACATTCAATCAGATATCCACTCTGAACCTTGCCACTGTACAAATAATAGGCACAGATGTGAATGTACCTCATCTAAAGATCTCAAAGCACTTTACTGACACTAATTAAGTTCTGCTCAGACAATCTCAGTGAGGCAAGTAAATAGTATAGTATTAGTAACCCTTTTTCAGATGTATAAATTGAAGCACACAGAAGTCAAGTGCACAGATCACTCAGTGAGACAGTAACAGAGCCAAGCACGGAATAAAGGAGCGCAGACCCCTGCTCTAACTACCGGTAGACTTACTTATATATATTGATGTTATTACCAGTTAGGGCAAGCAAGGTGCTAACTCAGGGAGACTACCACTTGCAGCTGCTAACAACAGGAAACAAGGAACATTATTTTAAGCTATGAAACTAGGACTGAAGTGTATTGCCATGGTTGAACTGATTTGACTATTTTCCAGGCTGTGTGTGTGTTTATTTTTTGGTTGTGTAATACCAAAATGATCCAGGATATGTTCTGTGCTATATCAGATAATGTCTCTCTGTGTGTTATAAGCAACCACTAAGTCTGGTAGCCTACAAATTTAGAACTATGTTTTCAGCTCAGCTAGCCTGTAAAACTACACCTAAAATTTTGCATGCTGAAAGTTGGCGCACAATTTTTCACATTCAAAATTTTCTGTATGCAAACACCTGGATCTGTGTTGAATACATAAAACTGAATCAGCAATTTTATAAACTGGTTCTAAAAATTTGGCTCATTAAGAAGCAAAATATAACAGGTTACCATGTGAAGAGGGGAGGATTCATGCTGCCAAAAGTAAAACACTAAGTCTGGACAATTATCTATTATCAAAAAGATGAGTTCTTGTCAACTGTCCAGTTGACGCTACACTGAGGTATGATGTTCCAGCACCAGAGCTAGCAGTCACCAAAGAGGCAATTACTTCTAATCCATTGTGCTTTCATTGCAAGAAATTGGCAACAAGTTGATGCAAAAAAGAAGAAAGCAGCCCATATTTGACCGTATCTTTCTCCTATTGAAATCAATGACAAAACTCCCCATTGATTCCCAGTGACAAAGATTGGGGCCTTTGTGATTGCTATGTCACTGAAAGCCAAGCTCAGCACTTTGCACTCAAAATAGGGTGTAATCCCACCTCCTGTGCATGTCTGTGAATCCTATTGGTTGCCGATATTTGAAAGAAATGGGGGGGGGGAAATGAGGCAGGAATGTCAGTCAACACTTCCACATCCAGATAGCAGGTGAGACAGACAGCCACCCTTGTAATTGATTCAACTGGCCATTATTTATTTGGTTATGATTTTGACAGATCCATGGATTTACTTATTAGCAGGGGTCAGGATGGACATTCTATACGTGCAAAAGCGGTTCTTCAATGAAACTGCAAAGGGCTCACAAATCTGATTAATTTGTAAATTGTTACTTTTAATTATGTAATATGCCAAGTTGCTTCAGTAATTGGCACTGATATATTTTCTAAACAAACAAACAAAACCAACCATATCTAAATAAATCAACCGGTAGAAGGGAGGATAATATTCAAGTATGCATTGAGCCTTTTCTTTGTTTATCAAATTATTCTGGCTTGCTTTTTATAACAGCAGTTTGCATTTATACATCATTTTTCATCCTGAAGAACTGCAAATTGCTTCACAGAAATGCAGCCCCCTCTGGGGTGCCAGGCAGCAACCCATACCACTGCAGACAGAACACTTCATAACAGAGTGGGAACGGGAAATTTTTGGTCAAGGGCAGCAGAGTGTCATGGAATCTAATGTCAATGCAAAGCAGACAGTAGCTCTATTTTAAGGACTGATTAAAAAAAAAACAACATACAATAATCTGCATAGAACTTAATTTATCTGCTTTGCAACGATGAAGGATCAACTGGACTCTCCTAGATTTGAACCTGTGATTTCATAGAGTCTAAGTATGTTAGATCTTGGCAGGCTTATTATCAGACACAGCCACTATTTAGGTTAGCATGTAAGAGCATGTACATATCATACCAACCCCCTCCTCTCCCAACCTGTTCCTTTCCCTGATGAGGCAGGGAATATTGAGGTATAGACATCCAGCTCTTTCCAGCATTATCCATCTCTCACAGTCATAGGCACTAAATTCACTCATATTTAAATACATTTTCAAAGCAGTAGATTTCTGAGTGAGTCTTGGAGGTGAAGTGTGGTGCAGCCAAAGGGAATCGGACAAAGCGTATTTGTTCCCTAGTGCCCTCAGTCAGCTGATCCTAAGGGGAAGTGTCAGGATCAGCTTAGAGGAAGAAGTTAGATTCCACAATAAGAGTTGTCGCTTTGTAGGGAAGAGGGGAAATGGAAAACAAGATAAAAATACAATAGTCTTATCTGGAAATCTTTAATGTTTACTTGGTCAGAACTGAGACTTTAATTAGACTTTTGTTTACCTATCTCCTTAAATCATTTTAAATCATTCTTTTTAGTTTTTAAAGTTATTTCCCCACACTAGTTTAATAGCTAGGAAAAAATTAAAACGACCGTGGCCAAGCCTAATCAAAATTTAACATGGAGCCTGGAACAACCAACTCATTTGATCTTACATTTGTCCCTACCTAAGGCCCCAATTTAGCAAAGAATTTAAATATGTGCTTAAAGTTAATTATGTGCTTAACACCCAATGGAACTTAAGCCCATGCATAAGTATTTTGCTGAATCAGGTCCTAGATCCTGAAGTCAATGGAATTGAGGAGCTCAACACCTGGTGGGATTACAACGTCTATCCACTATGATAACATCAGTTATATTATCTAACAATTATCACACTTTAAAATGGATATTAAAGCCAACTAAGGGATCTGGATGCCTAGTTAAAAACTGAGTGTCCAAATCCCCTAGCCAGCTTTAAATTCTCAGCCTTAAACTTCTATTTTGAGAGAGGATGGGTTCCAGTGGTATTCCCCACATTAAGTACAAGGAATCTCTCTCAAACTAGTAGAATTTTTCAAGAGAAAGGAAACATTTGAATCATGGCCACTGTACAGGCTAGAAATCTAACACAGGTACCCATATTTATTCTGTTCTCTAGTATGTAACCTGTAGAGGTTAGTAGAAACAGACAATTGTAAATGTTGTTCTTACAATTAACTTTAAAAATAGAAAAATAAACATTTTATTTTAGCCTTCTAGTTGCCACACAGTCAGTGTCTGCTAAATTTAGGTATGTAAAGACCTACCCGATATATGAACACTGAAGTTCAATACAGAGAGATGCCCATGGCCACCTATAAAGTGGCACACGGAAGAGTTCTCTTCTGCCTATCTAGGAAATTATAAGTCCCCCATCATTGTGGTATCTGAAAACCTATTCAAGATGAGAAGCAGAGATCAGTATGCATATACAATACCAAGAGAATCCAGGCTCTGATTAATATAAAGGACGATCC